GGGAGAGAGCGGAATTGTTGAAATACCCCTAAAAGTCAGGGTATCTCGTCAGATACCCCTAAAACACAGGGGTAAGATGAGATGCCCTCAACTTCTGCTTTTGCCCCTGTCCCGGCCATGGGCAACTTTGTCATATGCCCTTGGCCCTGGGCTGCAGGGCCTGTGCATTTTTTTTTGGAATCTTCAGGGTCCAATGGTCTAAAATGCGGCGGCATATAGACAAACTTGCCCACGGCCTGGTAGGGGTATATGCAAAAGATGACAGGTCTAATTGGCGAGTGGGGTATTTTGCAAAGTTTCACAACTGTCATAGGGGCATTTCGCCATACCCATGCCGTTTAGGGGTATCTGATGAAATACCCGAAATTTCAGGGGCATTTCAACAATTTTCCCTTTTTTTTTAATTAAAACAAAACCAGCCATTCCATTAAATCCCGGAAATTGGGTCCGGCATTCGGTTTTTGATTTTTAACTTGTGTTTGGCTAAGAATTCGAACATGCCTCCCAGGCAAAAGTTGTTTGTATTAGTATTTTATATAATAACATATTTATTTTTCAGATTTTTCTGAGTTTTTATTTTTTTAAAATATTTTAATGTTCGCGATCAGAGGGTTTTGGTGCTCGTTGTTCGTGTTCGGTCCTGAAATTTTGCCTCTTCCTTTTGGAATGCAACGTGCTGATTTTTCTTCATTTTCCGCATTTAAGTTCTGCGCAACGGAAGGGCATCTGGTTGGAACTAATCCGAAAAGGGAGAAATGATCAGGAATTGTTACCTTTTTTTTTCTTTTTTCTTTTTTTAATTATCATCGGCTTGGTTTATAGAGAGGGAGGAATAATTAATTAACTGACATTTTTTCTTGGCTGGAGCAGTGATGGCGGCGTGTGCGTTTTCTTGTTCATCTGCTGCTGCGGTCAAGAGCGCAGTGTTTGTGAGAGGAACCGAATCACTCTCCGTTGGGGGGAAAGGTGGGCGCGTGTCTATCCCTTCCACATCGCTCTCGTGTTCATTCAAAGCTCTGTCAGCTCGTCAACATGGCCATTGCCTGGAGGGTCTGGTGAAGCATACAGTGCAGGGAGAGGGCAGCTGCCGGCGAAAGAGCATGGCGGTGGTGAGAGCAAGCGCGAGCGAGACTTCCGAAGGGGCCTGTGCGCGATCGTATAAGATCACTCTTCTCCCGGGCGATGGCATTGGTCCAGAGATCATGAAAGTAGCAAAGGAGGTGTTGAAGATGGTTGGTCAGCAGGAAGGAATGGAGTTGGCGTTCGAGGAAGCTCTTGTAGGAGGCGCGGCGATTGACGAATATGGAAATCCGTTGCCGGATTCGAGTTTGGCGCTCTGCCGTAACAGCGATGCGGTTCTTCTTGCAGCCATCGGAGGGTATAAGTGGGACAACAACACTGCACATTTGCGTCCGGAGAGGGGTTTGCTTGGTCTAAGGGCGGGTCTGGGGGCGTTCGCAAACCTGCGACCTGCCACTGTGCTCCCGCAGCTCGTTGACGCTTCCACTCTGAAGAGAGAGGTGGTGGAAGGCGTCGACATTATGGTGGTGAGAGAGCTCACCGGCGGCATCTACTTCGGTCAGCCCAAAGGGTTCGGGGTGAACGAGGCGGGAGAGCGCACCGGGTTCAACACGATGATATACAGCGTCCAAGAGATCGATCGGATTGCGCGAGTCGCATTTGAAATGGCGAGGAAGAGGAGGGGGAGACTTTGTTCGGTGGATAAGTCGAACGTGCTTGAGACGTCTCAGCTGTGGCGCGAAAGGGTGACGGAGATCGGTAAGGAGTACCCGGATGTCGAGCTGTCGCATATGTACGTCGACAATGCTGCGATGCAGCTGATCCGCGCTCCAAAGCAGTTCGACACGATCGTAACCGGGAACATCTTCGGCGACATCTTGTCGGACGAGGCGTCGATGCTCACAGGCAGTATCGGAATGCTTCCCTCGGCAAGTGTCGGGGAGTCGGGACCCGGGTTATTCGAGCCTGTGCATGGCTCTGCCCCTGACATTGCAGGTCAGGACAAAGCTAATCCCTTGGCCCAAGTTCTGAGTGCGGCGATGATGCTCCGGTACGGACTGAACGAGCCAGCAGCGGCGCAGAGGATCGAAGCCACGGTCTTCAACGTTCTCGACAAGGGCTACCGCACGGGCGACATCATGTCAGCAGGGAAGACGCTTGTCGGATGTGCGCAGATGGGCGACATTCTTCTGCACTCTCTCAGCCAGAGCACGGAGTCTCATGCCGCTTCACTAACTGCATAATTAACACTCAACCTAAGTTTTGCGAACTATGCACTGCAGAGTCTCAGGCAGACAGACAGACAGACAGACAGACAGACAGACAGACAGATTGACGTTTTGCACAATTGCTGAATGTGACAGTCTGCCGCTTGCCAGATTGTAACCTCCCAACTTACTGCGCATGGCAATATGCGTTGTCGGATTCTTCATTGCCGCCGAATTTGCCGGTGTTCTTCGTATTCTTAACCTCCCACCAACAGGCCTCTTTTTTTTTTTTTTTTTTTTTTTTTTTTTTTTTTTTTTTTTTTTTTATCCTTTTTTTTTTTTTTTTTCCCCCTTCCCCCCTCTTTTTTTTTTTTTTTTTTTTTTTTTTTTTTTTTTTTTTTTTTTAATTTTAATCCCACAGCTGGTATACCAAATTACCAATGAGCTGTTAAAATATTTACCGATGTTCGAATCCATATGCGATCAGATGCACAGAGTAAAAAGCATAGACCGATGTTAAAAAAAGTTTACGTCCTGAGAAACGAGAAGATGCCTACCTAGCTGGCAAGAGACGTGGTCGTGCGCGTTCACAGTGTGAGGAATACCTCCACGTATTAGAGTCTTGAGTTGTGATGGTCTCTAGGGTTTTCTAAATCTCCTGGGAGGGAAGAAGGTGCTCGGCTCTGCATGCACGTGCCACATGGCCGTGTGTTGAGCGTTTTGACATGTGTCCGTCCTTTTTATAGGCTACCCATCAGAGTACGTGAGTGAGTGTTTGCAAAGATGCATCTGCCCATTCGTCCAGGGCAGGATCGTCTGGAAGACGAAACTTCTCGGCACCCTTGCATACATGACAGCTCCTTAGTTGTATGCATTGTGTTCTTTTGCAGCCGTCCAGCCCCGCTGGACGATGAAGGAGTGAGAATATCCTGTCTGTGTCCTTATCAGGTCATCACTAGGGAAATGTTCTTCGCACGTCGCACGTCGCATGTCGCTCGTCGCTCGTCGCTCGTCGCTACGAGGACCTTGTTTGAGTTGGTGGCCCAGCGGAGTCCCTTTCGTTTGGCCTAGGCCCATAGATTTTGCCGAGCGTTTTTCAGCATCGCCTACCTCTCGCCTCTCAGGTGATTGATCTTGAGCGGGTGGAGAGGGGTATCCTGCTACTTAGCGGGATGGTTTTGGCTTGTGCTTCCCCATCCCCCCGCATGCTTCCCTTAGATACCTCTCTGTTTCGCAATGGTTTCATGCCATCTCGGTTTCGCAATGGTTTCATGCTATCACAATTGCGATCTGGTGGTGGATATCGAACGCGAAGTCACGTTTTGGCTGTGCTTCCCCACCTTTTTTGAGTAACTCGAAGTCGGAACAGCGGTCTAGAGTCTAGATGCTTTTGCTACTCAATCTATTTAGTAATTTTAGTTAATATCTGCCGTCTGTGTCTCGGTCGTAACTGTTTAAGTTCTTGACTTGGAACCACTGCTGCTGCTGCTGCTCCCAAGAAGCCTACGTTGCCAAACCTGAACGTCGCCAGCTCCCGGACGGGTTGAAGGTCGACAGGCTATGGTGGAAAAGAGAGGGCGATCTCTGTTTCGCAACGGTTTCCTGCCATCACAA